AAAGTCATTCTATGATTTGGAAAATGGTCGAAATTCTTCACTGTGATGGACTTGATCAGGTCGAGGTCTCGAATCACGAGCATGGGCGTTTCGAACTCGAACACACCAACGTACTTTGAATCGGAATCCAAATTGTACAATTTTTCTGCGAGATCGGCGAACGAAATTCGTTGAAAGAACATCTCCCACATGCTTCCTAAAAACGGAATCGGTTTGGCGTACGGAATACCGTGTTTCTTGAAGAAAGCGAAGTTACGAGTGGCTCGGTAGTAGACCACCGCTAGCACGGCTAACACAGCCGCGATTATCGACCACGAGCTCATTATCAAATCCATTATTCTGCGCTTCTAGCGGGTATTCACTATCTATCGGTATTCACGATCTCGCTCACTTTCCAGAAACGATCGTCGGGAGACTGGATAATCGTAGAAAACGATCATCAAGTTTTGTCCGTTGATAAAGAAATCGTCTAGCAGCGTCCGCGGACGCTTCCACGTCAATGTGCTTGCGATGACTGAAGACGATGATTTCATCGCGGCCGTGTTAATGCGCAGCGCTCGTGCTCCTGCCGATAAAACAGTCGAACTACTCGCGCAATGATCGTGTGAAAGTATTTTTAGCTCGAGATGACGAGTTATAGATAATAGTAGCTTGCTCTGACAGCCATCTAATTACGTTACTTCCGCTATCTTTTGTCATTTTTTCTTTCTCTTCATTTGATAAATGAGTACGCTGTCATCGAACATGTGTACACATATACGCGTATTTCCATGTACGTATTCGGGAAATATTCACTGGATATAGACACGCGAGGATATTATAATATTATAATATTATAATTGAAACAGTCAAAAAAATTTTTGCTCCTGCAATGAACTTATCATATATACACGTGAAACTTTGTTGATTTTGTAAATACGAAATAACGCAAAAATTCACCGCAAAATGAACGACGGACGTTTTCGCGAATGTTTCTCTTGTTCGCAGCGATTCTTTTTAACTCAGAAATTCAAAACGTCGAATTCGAATTCCACTTTCAATCGTCTATTCACGCATGTTTTGCGTATATTTGCGGACTTGATCTGCAGGAATCACGCAGCTCTAGAAACATCTCGCGCTGATCTTGAGCTTCGTGGTCATTTTGGACAAACTTGGAGACGATAGACCATCAATCTTTCGTACCGATCTTCGTGACAGTCGAGCGTCAAGCATCGACTCCTATTTAACACCACATTGGTGCCACCGAGAGTTGGGCATCGACTGACGTCTACCACGACGTTGGTGCCACCGACAGTCGAGTGTCACAGTGATAATAAGAGATTACTTCAAATAAAGTTACACTCAACATCAAAAAACGTTATAACGAATTTGACGTTATAACGAAGGAATGAACAATTATTCGACTTGCGGTTGTAGTTGTAACAAATCACGATCGGTGATTTGCTATAAAAATTAAAGTATCAACGGCGCATTATCGAATAAATTAAAATATAAAGAGGTTCGACAAGGTACAAAAATAAAGAATTCTACAAGAGAGACTTTTCATAGATCGACTGACTTCTTTATTGATTCTTCAGCCTCTTATACAGGATGTTATCTCAGGATCTTTCTCAGAGCCAGCAAGCTCGATCGGTCTGCTATTCCTTATCTGTCGGCACTATGTACGGACACGTACAACTTATTCAACTCCTTCTGCCCTTTGATTTATCACATAAAATCCGAGGGGCACTCTCGGTTTGATTACATAGTCGTTGCGCAACGCAAACCAACGTGACACAGCGTATTAGAGAATACGCAATACACTCAAACTTGTTTTTGTGCGGGAGATAGGGACCGCATAAAAAAAGTCTCACATCGAAAATAATTCAAAACCTCACGACGTAACTAGAAATTTTACGTTTTCTCTATTAAAATATTTCTTGAATTTTAATATTTCTTTCTTTCTTTATTAACCACGCAGTTTCTGTTTTTATACTCGAACGTTTTGAAAATGTATCACGGAAAAGTATTTTGAACGAAAGGAATGAGAAATTCAATACTATCGAGATAGAATATCTCTTCGAGCCAACCTACCCATATATAAACATATATATTGTTTAATTAGATGATTAGACGATCGATGATTTGAAATTCTTCTCTTCGGCAATGACGCGGCAAAACATCTAATCGTGATCTACACTTGATCGGCTATCACGAGCGATACAGCTATTAGGATATAAAAGCGATGGTAACACGATCGTGACCCAGTGTAGCCTGGCGTAAACTAGAAGGGAAGACATTGAGACGTCCCCGTCGAAAACATAGTTCCCCTGTGTAGAACTGATTTTCATCGAGTGAAGACTCTTCGTACAATTAGTCTGCTTGGTAAGCTGTCAGAATGAACATCGTCACGTTATCACAGTCACTCGTCGCTGCGCTCCGTGGATACGCAACGATGGACTATCTATCAATAGCTCTGTCGCTAGTGGCGGTGCTCGTTGCCCTCTATTACTTTACCACGAGGAATTACAATTTTTTCAAGAATCATGGAATCGTGCACGTTCCACCGACACCGCTGTTTGGAAACTTCGGATCGTTCGTCAGACGACAGATCACCATGGCCAATTTGATCGACAAGACCTATCAACTGGATCCCAGAGCGAAATACGTCGGTTTCTACGAATTTCTTACGCCGATAATAATGCTGCGCGATTTGGATCTGATCAAGACCGTCACCATGAAGAACAATTTTCGGACCATCGTCCGCTGGTGAATAGAAAAGTGGATCCTATGCTAGGAGGAATGCTATTCATGCTGAACGGTGATCAGTGGAAGAATCACAGGAATATGCTGTCGCCGACGTTCACCTCCAGCAAGATAAAAACCATGTTCAAACTGATGTCGGAATGCGCGAGCAGATTTGCCGAGCATTTATCGAATCTGTCGAAGGAGCAGCGCGAAATGGATATGAAGGTTCTATTGACGAAATACACGAACGACGTGATTGCCAGCTGCGTCTACAACGCGTCTGTCGACTCTATCAAGGAGCCGAACAACGTGTTCTACGTGTACGGTAGAATATGCACGTCGATGGCAACGTTCAAGAGATCCATGATGTTTCTGGTACACAGGAACGTTCCGTGGTTAGCGGAGCTGCTGCAACTCAAGTTCGTGGATAGTCACATTGCC